CTGTTTGCTTTCCTCAGATAAAACAGTCTCATAACATGGCACCAGTACCTGCTTCAATTCTGCGTGCACTCTCTCTCCCCGACGCCTCCAAGGCCAGCCTGTCAACCGCAAACCTAGGCTCCGGCTTCACCAGCACGGGGGTGATTCGAGCCACCGTCCCCACCGCAGATGGAACCGGCGAGGAAGAGCGCCGGTACTTCGTCAAGACGTCCGCAGACGGCCAGGCCGCAGAGGAGATGTTCCGCGGCGAGTACGAGTCTCTCAATGCCATCACCGACTCGGTCCTGGGGTTCTGTCCTCGAGCACTAGCCTGGGGGCCGCTGGACGCGCAAGACAGCAAGGACAAGAGCAAGAGCTTCTTTCTCGCGACTGAGTTCCTCGAGTTAGGTGCTGGTGTTGGCGGCCGGCGGACGGGCGAGTCTCTCGCGCAGCGGCTGGGCAAGTTACACTCTACGCCTGCGCCGGCGGACCCGGAGACGGGCAGGCGGCGGTTTGGGTTCCCCGTAGCGACGTTCTGCGGGGACACGAAGCAGCCGAATCGATGGCGGGATTCGTGGGCGGAATTCTACGCGCAGGAGCGGCTGCTGACGGTGCTGGAGACGTCGGAGAAGCGGAATGGGAAGGATGCGGGGTTGCGGGAGATGGTGGAGCGGACGGTGCGCAGTGTGGTGCCGGCGCTGCTGAGGGATGGACATCTGGGGTATGACCGGGAAGGGAACGGGGAGGGGATTACGCCGGTGGTGGTGCATGGGGATCTGTGGAGTGGGAATGCGGACCTGGGACGGATAGTGGGCAGTGGGCGCAAGGAGGACGAGGAGGTGGGCGTGGTGGTGTATGATCCGTCGGCATGCTATGCCCACAGCGAGTATGAGCTGGGGATCATGAAGATGTTTGGGGGGTTTGGGCCGGCGTTCTTCGAGGCGTATCATCGCATTGTGCCTAAGACCGAGCCGGTGGAGGAGTATGAGGACCGCGTGAGGTTGTATGAGCTGTAAGTGTGTCTTGTCTGCGTTATACGAGAGCCTTTGCTGACTTGGAAGGTATCATCACCTGAACCATCATGCCATCTTCGGGGCTGGATATCGATCGGGTGCTGTATCGATTATGCAGAAGCTGCTTAAGAAATACGGCGATTAGTTGCCCTTGGTTTATCATTTTAGATTCTAGGAATATATTAGACTAGAGATATCTGATGAGATTCATGATTATCCATCAAGCATCTTTGAGCTATCCCGATTATTTATCTGCAGGTGGTTGATTTACTGATACTTGGCCATTTTGAAGATTCTCCCCATCTGCAACGACGAATAAGGACAAAAACACGAGTAAATCTTGATATGCAACAGTTGTCTCGTTATGGCATCATATCTGAGTCAGCAGATCTCCATCACAGAATCAACGAATATAAAGCCTAAAGCCGTGTCCCTGTCCCAAACCCTGCCACAAGTCTCTGATTGATCTGGAAATACTAGGAACTTGCTGGAAGTTTATCAAGTCACTACGATGCCTTCCGTTCCGGACGCCGAGCTCTACCCCGAAGCCAGCGGACCAGCAAAAGCGCTGGTCGACAGGCATCAGGCGGAGCAGCCTTTGAAGCTCTATGCGGGCTGGTTTTGTCCGTGAGTTCTTTGACCGTTCTATTTTCACTGTAAAGACGCTAAACATCAACAGGTTCGGTACGCACCTGCGTGGAACACGCGATTCTTAAATTGCCAGCTAACCTTTACAGTCCAACGTGTCTGGCTTGCTCTGGAAGAGAAGCAGATCCCATACCAATACATCGAGGTCAATCCCTATCACAAGCCACAATCACTTCTGTCGCTGAACCCGCGCGGGTTAGTCCCCACGCTCGCTTGTCCTACGGGACAGAGCGACGGAAATGGCCTCAAGCTCAAGCCACTCTACGAGTCGAACATCATCCTAGAGTACCTCGAAGAAGCTTATCCCGATCATCAGCCGCGTCTACTTCCTGGAGACCCCTACGAAAAAGCCTGCGCGAAAGTCTGGATGGATTTTGTAACGACCCGGGTGATTCCCGCGTTCCATCGCTTCCTGCAGTACCAGCCTCAGTCCAAGGACGAGGACGTGGCTACTGAGACTGACAAGGTCCGCCAGGAGTTTCTGGCTTGTCTGAAGGAGTGGACCAAGGAGATGCATCCCGAGGGGCCATTTTTCTTAGGGGATCAGATTTCAATGCCTGACCTTGTGCTGGGCCCTTGGGCCGTGCGCCTGTGGGTGTTTGATGAGTTCAAGATAGGCGGACTTGGGATTCCTGCTGAGGGTCAGGGGGGAGAGGATGAGCCTGTCTGGCAGCGGTGGAGGACATGGCTCCGTGCTGTAGAAGACAGACGGAGTATAAGGGACACAACTAGTGAGAAGGACCATTACCTTCCCATCTATCAGCGCTATGCGGACAATACTGCCCAGAGTGAGCTGGCAAAGGCTACAAGAGCTGGAAGAGGGGTGCCATGATTCCAAGCACTTGAGTAGTATTTGATTTTATATGCATTCCCAACATGTTGACAATGACAACACGCGCTCTCATTGTTCTCGGCAAGAAATTAAACACAGATACTAGGCTCCATTTGATCATAATACGGAGCTACATTCGTGAAACTACAAACAATAGCGGAATAATATCTGACCCGTCTCACGTGACACTCCGCCAATCATGCGCGGCCAAAGATTCAATCGCATCCATCGCGCATCATCCTAGGTCCCCGTACATTTACCAATTTAACATTCTCTACCTGGCAAGACAAGAAGATTCTTCCGCCAGCACCACAGGATGGCTTCGGAGAAGAAGGATGACTCGACACAGCCGGCTGGAGCCGAACCCTCTCTGCCGGAACCTCCTGCCATCCATCCATCCTTCATCCAGGTAGCCAAGCCGTATATCTTTGAACAGACGATTCAGAAATGTATCGCGGCCATGGGCGTCAATCCTCTGCGCGAGGAAGCTCTACGCTTGCAGGGGGTGACATGGATCGACAACGTGCGCCGAGTGCTCTATCTGTACGTCTGAATGCTTGAATTGCAAATGAACATCACTAGATCAAGAACTATTGCTGACTCGACAGGCCTATTCGTACCTTCAACACTGCTGTTGTCTATTATCATAAATTTCGTCTTCTTCACCCCGACACAGAGTATAATTATATGGTAGTCGCACCATGCGTTAATCTGCAGTGTAACTAAGCTGACTTGACTGGTAGGATGCCGCTGCGGCTGCTCTATTCACGGCATGCAAGATCGAGGACACCCTTAAGAAGTCCCGGGAGATTGTATGCGCTGCGTACAACCTGAAGCTCCCTCCATCAGAGCACATGTCTCCTGACAATCCCGTGAGTCCCCATCGTCTCTCTGGCAACCAGGGCAGACTAACATACTTCTCAAGGTTTTCGAAGCGCATGCTCGAGGTATCATCGGCCTCGAGAGGCTCATGCTCGAAGCGTCTGGCTTCGATTTCCGCACCCGTCATCCGCAGAGGACTTTGATCAAACTAGCCAGACACTATGGCCTGTCGCCGAAATCCGAGGTTTCCAATCTCGCCTACCGCATCTCGCAGGATCTCTATCGAACATTTGCCCCCATTAAGCAGACCACCTCTACCATGGCCTTTTGCTCTCTCGAACTCGCTGGCCGCCTGCTGGATCAGCGTCTGGAGCCCGTGGAGCAGGGGTCAGATTACGAGCAATGGAGGACGAGCCGCGAAGAAGTAATGGGTGGGTCTCCTGCCTTTTCTCAAGTCTATAGACAACAACAAACTCTAACAAAACCAGAAACTCTCTTTGACCTGCTCGAGTTATACACACACAACCGCAGCTCGACGACCGTCGGCCCGCATTTCCCACCTGATCGATTCCTCACAGTCCGCATCCCGCTGAACAAAGAAGCAGAGGCCCAGAGATTACCCCGGTACACGCACTGGGTCGAAGACAGCAGAGATTCCAAGCCTACAAACGGCGCCAGAGACGGCAGGGACCGCCCCGCGCCAAAAAATAGAGAGAGATATAGAGACAGGGGAGCCGCAGCCGCACCCGCGGTGCACCCGCTCACGCCTGTCGCTGCGAACGGGGAGAGACCCAAGGCCGGGGAACGAGGCCGGGACGGCGCCGTGCGCTTCATGCTGGATTCGGAGTGCGCAGAGGCCGAGAAGGCGCGCGTCGCTGAGTACTTCAAGATCGAGATGGAGGAGTACGAAGTGGAGGAATGAATTGTCTTCTGGGACAAGAAACCACGAGACCACCCTACGCAGGCGACATACCCGCTACTGTTGGGCACCCTCCTCAGAGGATCGACAGCTGGGTTCGAAGCAATCGGGCAGCTGCGCCGGCACGCTGGCGGCGATGGATCTGTTAGCCCGCCTGCCGCAGGATTCATGATTCCAGCGGAACACAGCTCGCTTAGTGAGGAGAGCTCAACACGACGTGGATATAGCTGCGCTCTGAATGCATAGCGTCATGCTTTGAGCGACGAGCTGGGCGCCGCTGTTGAGTCCCCAATGTCGAGGAACATCCAGATACTTCTTGACGATGTATCTACCGACGGAACCTCGCAAGTGATGCTTCAAGAGGCGTACGTCATATCACGATACAATCGCTGCAGAATAATAGCTACCTGCTACCTCGCACATTCTGTTGCATTACATGTCAAAACGACAAATCTTTTTAGGTAGATAAGTACCTAAACACTCGCGTGAGAGCTATATATGATGGGACTTCACACAGTGCATCGAGCGCTTAGCCAATCCACCTCTAGGCAGACGTAAGAGGATGTAAAGCAAAAAGAATATGAATCCAGGCTGACCAACGTGTCTTTGCCCGGCTGAGTCAGGCACCCGACCGTCCTTTCCTGACTTGTATACACCAACAACCCAATGCGTTGACAAGAAATTACACTGAGAAAATAGAAAGATTAAAAAGAGGATGCATAGAAGCCGAACATGTTCATCAAGGGCCCCAGGCACGAAAAAGGAGATGGTCATTAGCGAGTCATTTTCAACGGCGTTTCAACTCGCCGTTAAGGCAATCCAGTATCTGTATGATTTGTGAGCAGGTGGACCTTTCGTACCAAAAACAATTGAACATACCGTCTCAGAAACGGTTCCCTGGTTGTAGAGGTATTTGCCCAAACCGCGAACCACTTCGAACTGCTCCTCCACTGTGAGGCCGTTGATGGCAGCCTCGATGATATCCCCCACACTGGCCTTGTATACTGCAATGAAGCTGTGGTAATACATGTAGGCGAAGAAGCCCATGATGAACTGGCAGTCCATGCGGTCGGTGATACCACCGTGGCCCGGAATGGATTCACCGAAGTCCTTGATCTTGAAGGTGCGCTTGAGGCCCGATGCGAAGAAACCACCAAAAGGCGCAATGAGAGAGGCAAAGGTGGCAAACACCAGGATGTGGAACTGCATAGGCTCAACATAGAAGGTCTTGGCCAAGCCAGTCCATTCCGGGAGAGAATAGGGCTGAGGCACAAAGACAGGGTTAGGGTTGCATTGCAGTCCAGTCAGGACGTTAGCTCCCAAGTCGTTGACCGGGCAGATAAAGTACTTGTAGCGGATCAGGATGTTGGTCATAAAATAGCCGAAAATAATGGTGCAAATCCATGCACCGAGGAAACCCTCAACAGTCTTCTTGGGCGACAACTGGATCAGTTGAGTGCGACCAAAAGTGATACCACACACGTAGGCGAAGATGTCGTTTGTAATGACGAGGGAGGCCGGGAGGAAGAACCAGATCATGCCCTCGAAGACATTGTTCATGACAAAGTGCGCTTGGACAACGATCAGGTACAGTGCCATATGCGTCCAGGCAAACTGGGTGAATTGAAAACGGTAGTGACCTTTTTGCAGCGATGCGACAAAGAAGACGAATCCTGAATGTGGACAGTATCAGCGGCTGTCCGATCTTGTAGAGTAAGCGATCAAACTCACCCATAACATAGAGCGTAAAGCTGATAAAACGATGGTGAGTTGCCAGAGGAAGCAATCCCTTCTCAACTAGGAGGATATGCTTGAAATAGTAGATCACGCTTTCTCCATACAAAAAGTACATGGTGGTTGCCAGGAAATACCAGTTGAGCGACTTGGTAAAGCGGATGTTCTTCTCCCTGCTGGGTACATTCGCAATGGCAATGACTTCCTTGAACGAAATGATCTGGACTGCCGTGACGATGCCGATGATGTAAATGTGGCCCGAAAACATGGCAATGAAGAAGAGGGAAATCATCACAAACGTCCATATTGTCCGAGTGATGAATGTCTGCTTCTTCTTCTCATATTCGGACAGTTGAGGCTGTTCCTGTTTCTGTACGAGTATGTCAGCCTTCCATTGCCAAATGATCAAACCGATTCTCCTGTCTTAGGGCCTCACCTCTTCGGGAATCGTTGCGGGTTTGGAGACATTGCCATTCTTCGACGGGCTCCCAGGGTCGGAGGCCACATCACTAGCATCTGAGATGCTCATCCGACGGTTTTCAGATCCGTTGCTTCCTCGGTGTTGAAACCGGACGTTCCGGCGTGACTTTGACATGGTCAAGCAAGGGTGTAATGCAACAAAGAAAAGGAAGAAACCGCTTTCTCAGGGCTACTACGCGCGGGGAGCAGGTGAGATCGCGGGGAAATCTCAGGGAACCTGAGACTGGGGTCTGAAGAGACGAAATGGGGCCCGAACAGGGGGTGAAAGATGGAGAATCGGGCCAAAAAAGAATCCTTGGGGACACGGCAAGTGAGGATGATTATTGGGAGCGATCGTCGTGTTGATTACTAGTAAATTTTCATGTGAAGTAGGGACCGAAAGCGGTCGGGTAAAGGAGACGCGAGACGATGCAAGAAGAGCTCTATGGGAACCGCAGAGCAAAGAATTCCAGAACTAAATCGTCGGCATTCAACCTGGGGATCATCAATCTGATGGTAGGAGGATGATCAAGCAGAAGAGAATTGATTAAGAGAGTAAGATAGAGAACAGGATGAAGATGAGGCACAACTTCCCGTGACTCGGCACTACGTCAGGCCTTCGTCCGTTTCTCTTCCGTTGGTTCCTGGGAGAAAACAGAACTCTTCTTTTTTCTGGGTAACCAAATAAAACACAGCAAAACAAACATATTCGTTCTCTTTCTCAAGAATACTCGAGCAGATCATTTTTGATTCATGGCGACCTCGCGTAGTGGGTTATGGAAGACAAGGATGATGACTTCTTCTCGGATGATGGCCTCGAGGATCTGCCTCCCAGTACATTATTGCAGCTAGAGCAGAACGCGTATCTAGCTACACAGGCGCAAAAACCAGCGCAACCAGAAGCTTCTATCTACACTGCTCCTACTTCTCATGCGCAAGTCAATCAACAATTTCCGGTCGCAGAATCCCAATCAACACCTATCAATGCTACGTTGAAACCACCTGCGCGTCTACACACGGGTCTGACGAACGATTACGATTCTCTGGATGTGGGTGAATTGGATGCGGAAGTGCTCGACGATGATTCTGGATTTCCTGTTGCCCTGGATCACCCGCCTGCTTCGGCAGGACAGGCTGTTCCTCTCCGCAACGAGTCCGCCTTAGAGCCTATGGACATCGAAGAAGGACTGGAGAACCCGTATCAAGCCAATATTTACGAGTCTTACAATGCGCTTGAGGAGAAGGTATCTGTTGTGGAAGCATCTACAATGCCAGGCTTTTGGCTAATGTGACTTGCAGTTGCGCTTAGAAGATGAACGACTCAAACAGATGACGGAAGAGCTGGCCGCCGCCAAATCGATGGCCGAGACAAAAGCGGGAGAAATCGCCATCATCCGAGCGAACCAAGCGAAACTGGTCGAGAACTATGATCGACAATTGGCTGCTTTGCGCAAGGCCATGGCGGAGGAGACAGCCAAGCATAAGGAGGAGGTAGAGGCAGCTCGAGCCGAAGGCAAACTGCTGGCCACAGAAAATGCGTTTCTCAAACAAGACCTAGCCGAAGAAACCATGCGAATCAACAATACGAAGGCAAAGAGCAGGGCGGAGGACAAAGCGCCGCCCGTAACGCCCAAGAAGACAAGAGTACTACCTTTTCGCGATGGATTTGACGATGATGAAATCATGGCGATTTCGCCGAGCAAGTCCGCGAAATCGAAGCGGACGACCCCCACGGGGCCTGGAAAGAAGAAAAGGAAGCTCGATCCTGGCAGTCCGACACCTCTGCCACTAAGTCAGCCGGCAGAGCTTGTAGCTGAGCCGCCTGAGGACTTATTGGAGGATGCGATGATGGATGATGTGATGGTCGACGAGCCAGTCCCGCGCAAAGAGGACCGGAATGCAGAACTCATGAAATCCATTCTCAACCACAAAACGTATCCCAACGAGGAATGCGATATCGAGGTATTATCGCAAATGGCGTTTCCCTCGGAACCGCGACGGAAGCTGTCTACGATCGTCCTGGAGGAGACAGCAAGATTACACTCGGGCAACTATGTGGTGGAATATGCGCAAGTCATCGCGTCGCTATGGTCCCGGGCCCTAAAAGAAAAGTTCTTCAAGCCGGTGCCGATGTTCATGGAGATTACCCACCACCTGTTAGCATTGGATGCACCGTCGTGTGTCCCAGACATGATCGACCATCTTGTGCCAGTGCTACAAGAGTCGGGAGATATCAACGGAATTCCTCGTTTCAGAAACTCGCCCGTGTCGCGTCAGAACCTCGGCCAGGTACGGCAAACGCCGCTGTCCCAACTTGAAGCCCTTGTGGATTCGACTGAAGCGCTAAGCCTGTTGTACCGCATGGCGTATCTCTGTATACACATGGAGCGGACGATGGAGAGGTTCTGGCGGCACATGCGCTACGACTTCGTCTTGATGATGCTGAATTGCTCACAACCCATTCGAGACATCACCTTAATGCTGAATCTGCTTTCAACGAGCATCCGAGCGCGGTCCTTTGGATCGGTCCAGGAGACCCAGCAAGATCAGCTTGCCAACGAGAATTACATTGTTGACCGTGTGGCCAACCTCTTAAGTGAGACACCACAGCCGGATGAAGGGCAGCCTCCTTATACAGCGGCGGACATCTGCAGCATGCGCTTGCAGGCAATGCATTTTCTCACATCGGTAGCTTTTAATCCAGTTGCACCGGCCAGTGAGCACGGGAGCTCCATCATTGCACAGCACCCAACGGTGCTCGCGCGGATGATACGAGCCATGCATGACGAACTGGATGCACTCTACACGTATCCGCCGGAGCGAGATCTCCATGCGACCATGGTCAACGGCCTCATGCGCTTGGTCTACGGAGTAATCCGTCGTCACAAGAACGTGGATCTGCAATCGAAATTGTGTCGAGTCGCTGGTGGGAAGCAAAAGTTTCTAGTGGTGTTGACACGGTTGGCGTTCAGCGAAGGACCGATACTCGAGGGCGGCATCGACGACGAGACGGTGGAGATGGCCCATGAGATCCTCGATGATGCCGTCACCCCTCAGGAAGCAGAAGCGCTCTTGGAGGCATTCCCGAGTGCAAAGCGAGATGATTAACATGACTTATGTGTATAATGATGAACCCGCATATGATATGAGGACAATAATAATAAAATAATGCGAAGTATGCCTCGTGATGTGTAGGAGTGCTGGGTACATACAGAATAACGTAGTCACAGGGAAAGGATACCGAAGACCCAACTGAAAAGCAACAGCAACGTGGCTACAAGCGCATGTAGATACATAGAAAGCTATTACATGGAATAAGAGTTGTTACAAGGGTTTTACTAAATGTAATACATCGACTATGTACGAAACCAACTCTGAACTCTCTTCTCCATACCCCCGCGCAAGGCGAAGAAATGATGAAAAGAGAAAGATGATCCACCACAGAGTGGAAAGTGCCAAAGAATACGCCTGTCAATGACCCGAAGGCCGTTGAACGGATTGTTCCGCCGCGCTGTGCAATGCAGGGACCAATCCGTGGTGGACCGCCTTCTTGATCGCAGCCACCCAAACAAGGTAAGTATGAAGAAAAGAAAGAAGAAAAAAAACCAAAGGATGGAGGGGGAAGCGGCAATATATAAGTTTCTGTGGGTCCAGGGTCTGGCGCTAGTACTACGCGAGGTGTTTTCAGCCAATCGCACGGCAGGTGCTGACGGTGTCTTTTTGCCTGATGGCTGAGGCAGGGACTTTGCATCACGTGCCTGATGTGAAGTTTTGGGTCTCATTCCGCTCATCGTTGATACTGAAGGAGGATTCGTTGCAGGTCAATTCCAACGGACACTCGCCATCATGAGGAACAGGGCTACTACGCCGTTGAGCAAGGCGGTATGTTATTCCTAGTCATCGATATTACCACGATACCTAGACCCCCTTTATCGCGTGACAAAACTCCTAACGGAGCTTGATACCAGAAAATCCGACAATCATGGAGCAAATATAATTTGTTCAACCTGAGTCGATTTCGCGCCCCTCCGACCGCAAACCGCACCTTCTTCCAACAGAAATGGACTGCCAAGTCCGTTGCCCGAGCATACCATGGCGAACAGGTCCGCGAAAGCCAATGGTCTCGGATGTTCACCCGCCGCATCCGCAGCGTCGTGCCCATGAGCCCAGAGAAATTGGCCAGTGATGATGGTTCTGCAATGTCCGCCGGTCGAGGAGCAGGCCTGGAATCCGAAGCGAACGGCGATGGCACAGCCGGGGCCCAGGACCAGACTTCCTTGACACCCTATACACAGATGACTTTTGCTCCTCTCGAGCGTCGGCTGGATGTTGCCATCTTCCGGGCGATGTTCGCCAGCAGTACTCGGCAGGCCCGGCAGTTTGTTGTACATGGTGCGGTGACGGTTAATGGCAAGAAGGTATGCTTCCTTGGTCTAGTGATCTCGTCTTGCCGGATCTGGCCGCTGACACTGTTACTGAAATAGATGAGATACCCCGGTTACCTCCTGAATCCTGGCGATCTTTTCCAGGTTGAACCGGAGCGCGTCATGTATGCTACCGGTGCCCCCAAGGACAAGTTTGAACGTCGAGAATCCCGCGTCGCCAGGAGAAAGGCGGCAGAGTCGAACGAGGGCGAAACAGAGGAGGCTGCGGCTGCGGAGACGGAGAACAAGGAGGATGAGTCGGAGACAACAGAAGCACAGGATCAGCAAAAGGATGACCCGAAGGAAACATTGAAGAAACTGCTCACTCAGGCCAAGACGATCATGTCCAACAGCAAAGACGTTCTCCCCGCCAAGCGCAAGCAGGAACTGCGCGGCTTTCAGAAGGCCGTCCGTAGAGTGCTGTCTCGTTCCGAATCGAGCACCGTCTTGACCGATAACCTCGAGTCTCAGTTCTCCGAGCTCATCACCTTGCTGAAGGCCAAGAAAGCCGAGAAGAAGGAAGACAATGAGTCAGAGAAGACATCTTCCACGCCCGCAGAGCAGACCTCGACCACCACGTCCGAATCAACAGACGCTACCACTACTACTACCGCGACATCTGCTGCGGAGAACAAGCCTAGCGACAAGCTTTCCGAAGCTTTCCAGAAGGCGGCTCAGAACCCCGAGGAAGAGGTGGACACGTCAGAGCTCA